ACAGAGACAAACGCCATTCCTGGCTTGTTAGCCGACGTCAGGCAGCCATAGCCAGAGTTATAAAAAATCCACTTGTCTTTTGGTATTCGGACCCACGACGGCAGTGACAATGCCTGTCCACAGCCAATGCTCTGATGAGCCGCACTATGAGGTTCCCACCAAAAGCCCAATGTCACGCTTTGCCTTAGCTATTCGATGAGGTAACCGATTTTTCAAATTCGGTTCTCATTCAAGCAGTTTGAATATGCCAAAAGTCAATTACTACTTGAATTTATAGTTAGGTTGTTGATTTAGAAATGGTGGGTTCCAGGCTGCGTAGTACAGTGCGTGACCTATCACATGAAATGGTGACCCAAGTCCTGAACTGCGTTTACTATTAGGAAGAATGAGTCAGATAGCATTGTAATACTGATTGTCGTGTGCCTAGGATGTCGGCTTTAAATGTTATTCTGGTAACAATTGGAAGGTGGCACCCAAAAAAATGCGCCCAACCAAAGCAGCCTGTCTTACGGGACAGGTGGTAATAGGGGTTTTACGGGTGGGGCCTTCGATCGTGAGGATAAATATAAATAATACTACCTCATCACTGTATGGCAACAAAAATGTGCGCGGTGTCGGATTTACTTGAAGAGGCAGATAATATGAAGTCGATCCAGCTCGTATTCCCTGCTTAACTGCTTTTTTAAATAGGGGATTAAAAGCGGAATGCAGTTGGCTAAAGGAAACGTTCTACTTTGTGCTGTTCATGACCCTATGCCTTCATATCCTCGCTTTCAAAACTGCACGTTCAATAAACACAGAAGACGTGATTGAAAACATCGCCGCACTTGACCCAGACGAGAATTGCTATTTTGTGAAATTGCTCAGCTGATGACACCGTCTGTCTGGGATTGTATGCTTTGAAAGTTTTCCGGCACTCAGTAAAATACCCTTATTTTATTCCTTTCATCAGCCTGTGGACGAACACTCATGCAGTCCTCCGGCATATTCTCATCGGTAAAGGAATTTTTGGGTGCCATCTCCCAATTGTTACCGTTATTCTTTTTAACTTCCCGTTGAAACCGCTCTCGGTGCAAATGACTAGATAAGTAGCATACATTTCTCACACTGATTTTCGATTGCCATATAAGTTCAAATATATTTTAAAGAAAGCATGCATAAAATATGCCCTGATTTACTCGTTTGGTAGAAAATCCCATTTACTTTACATTTTATATCCAAAAGAGGTGCATATTTTGGTCCTGAAAGCTTTCCCAACCCTCGAATAATTTTGAGCCAGATCAGCCGCTGCATTAGGGTTTGGCGACTTCAGTCTTCAAGGTGCAAGCCTTCCGCGTAAGAGGAATCATACATTTCTCTATGCCTTCAAGAATATTGCATACAGATTTCATAATTTTTTTCAGTGGATGCGTAGTTTGTTTGTATATTTCATGAGGAGCACTGATAAACAGGCATTTGCGATGCTGTATGTGTCTAAAAATTTTCATGATAAGCAAATATATTAAAACAAAAAGATAAGCTTTTTAGGGTGTAAAATATGAAGATAATGTGCTCATTTACCAAACGAGTAAAAGAGAGCATTTTTCATGCATGTTTTTTATTAAGTTTCATTTGAATTTATATGACCGTCGAAAATCGGTTTGAGAAATGCATGCTACTAAAATAGTCAGTTTTACCAAGCGTTTTTTCTACAAGAAGTCGAAAAGAACTGCATTAAAATTCCGACATACTACGGGTCCAAAATATTATAGGATTACGCCACATGATAATCAGTATTACAACTTACATAAGCAATACTTCCTAATCGAAAACGCATTTCTGAATTTCGGTCAACATTTCAAGAGATCGGTCAGTCAATGTATACTGGGTTGGTATCTCAGTTAGTCGTAATAAACGCGGAATTCTTGGCTGAGTTCTTGTAGTGAAGGTAGCTAGAGGGTCCACTTTGTTCAAATATTGCGCTTTATTCTGTGGGTGCCTATCCAATCATAGCCTTAGATATTTTTTCAACTTGATTTTCAATTCAACAAAGTGTTGATGAAAATTTATGTCTTCAAACAATTGTGTGCAATCGTCAAAAACAAACACAAACAGGACAAACATCTTGAGTCGCGATTTCCTCTTACACCTTAAGGGGAACATATCCAAAATCCTTCAGATTATCCAATACATTTTATTGAGAAATGTGGTGTATTTTAACCCATGATCTAGTCTCCCGCGAATTAGATGTACCAACTGTAAGCAACGTTACATCGTTCGAAGGATCGTCCCGGTGGGACTTTTCTGCATATATTTGCCTGCGACAATGCAGAGGCGAAACCGGCAACGGTATAGAGAATGCTCCCACTTAACTGGCAGTAGACTGTGGATCGTGTCATCCGTGATTTATGGTAAAAAGAGTTTTATTGGTGGAGCACCACGCTAGAAAGCAAGCTAAACATTTAATAAAAACACAAATATTGCCTGAATTTGTGCCACAAGTCTTATCCTACACTATCGTACGACAACGCGAATGAGAGTAGCTATCAAACAATAGAAAAAATATAAATTTTACAAAATAACGGATTTTCAGTTTAGGTGTCAGGTCGTGGGGAGAAGTCGTTGTTGGCGGAGTAATTGTTGCAACAACCTGCAAATGTGGGACAAGGCGAAACCCCAGATGACACGATTCACAGTCAACTGAGAGGTAAGTGGGGTCTTTCTCTATACCGTGGCCACAAAGCCCTTAAAAATGCTATTTGCACATCTTTTCCAACTGACATATTTCATTTGCCACTGCTCGGCGACATAAGCTCGACATACGCCACAAACACTGATCAGTTGTTCGTCGTCGAACTCCTCACTCATAGGAGGCACATATATCTGCCCTCCGCAAACAAACAAACCCAGGCTGTCCAATTCGCGTAAAATTACCCCACCCTCTCCTCTTTCTGCACAGAAGCAACTGACAGCGAAAAAACCGGTCGTGGGATTTTCTGCGTGCGTAAAAAGGTGGCCGCTGTGTGTCGACACGTCTCTTCACCAATAGTCTCTTTAACAGAGAACGTAGGACTGATCTTAAGCTGATCTCAGCATTTATTTCGGCACTGATAGTCAACATCTGGATGAGGCATGTGGAGTGACATAAGCGGCTTCCAGATGTCGTTTGCACTGCACACGCCCTGGCAACGGGACTTGAAATCTGTCGAGATATATATATGTGAGAAAAAGAAGAGACGATCTCAGGAACCATAGTTGTATTGCCCTGACGTTTCGAAAGCGAACAAGTTTTCATCGTCGGAGGTGAGTGTTGTACCGCACCTCACAGTATTTATAGGTGGTGATGGTCTCCTTTCAGCGGGTTTACATCTCGACGGGCGCCGGCTTTCGGGCGCTATCCGTCATCGGACGTGTTCGCATGGACCGTAATTCTCGTCCTACGCTGGCAATCTTCTTTACGACCCCGTGACGGTCGGATAAGTAGCAGTGAAGCTGGCACCTTCGTCGGATCCGTTTATGTTACTGCGACCGTCCGTCAGATATATGGGTGTCGCGACTCTTGTGACGAATACACCTTCGCCAGATCCAAGTTGAAGTACAGCTGCGTTTTTGTCTCCCATGGACCCGGCCGTAAATGAGTTCCTTTCTCCTCGTAACCCGCTTTTGTTCCTCTGTCCTCTTAGCTGCATCCGTAGGGCTCGGTATGCTTCGGAAAACGCTACACAGCGGTTGATGGAGTTCGTGCCGGTGTGCCAGGCCTCATGTGTTTCCCTGGCCACGCGATCGTTTCCTCGGCCCAGGATTTCGGCACTCTGGAAAGCGATGTGTGTCCAGAGTTTGCGCAGTGTTTTGCCACCAGGGACAGCGGGTCCATCCTCCTTACGGCCCCCATGTGTTCTCCAACACGAGTCTGGAGTCGTTTACCGGTCTCTCCAATGTATTTCATTTCGCAGGAGCTGCATTGGAGCCGATAAATCGCGCTTGTTATTTCACCAGGTGGCAGGGGCTATTAGGTCTCATGACCAGATGTCGAATTGTTGACTCTGGCTGATGGGTGGCATTAGGAGACGGGAGACCGCCTCAGGGAAGGGCTCTCCAGACTTTGGCCATTCTGTCACTAGGTTTCGGCTTAGCACAGGTTGCCTGTCGCGTTTTATAAAATTTCGCCATGAATAGGCGCTGAAGGTAGCGTAGTTCCGACCTTTTGTCGTCTGTCTCTGGCGCCATCACCACCTATAAATACTGTGAGGTGCGGTACAACACTCCCCTCCGACGATGAAAGCTTGTTTGCTTTTGCAACGTCAGAGCAATACAACTATGGTTTCCGAAATCGTCTCTTCTTCTTCTCGTTTGTGTCGGGGAGCGCGCATCTTCCCTTCTATCATATATATATACAGTACCTGTGCTAACTCATGAAATGTCACGAATTAACACAGGTTAACGCCTTTAACGCAAAATCGGTAAACACTACGGCTCCCAAAGTATGATAGCGGAAAATAAACGATGTGCCAAAGAAATAAAGCA